TATCTACAAGTCTTACCTAAATCTATTCAAAGCAATATCTCAAAAGGTGTTTTCTCTTGTAAAAGTGTTGATATTAACCTGTGGCACCTTAGACTAGGACACCCAGGGCACAGAACAATGAATCACATTTGTGAGAATTTTTCATATGTCAAAGCTGATGATAGTTTTGTATGTGATACTTGCCATTTTGCCAAACAACACAAGTTACCTTTTCCTAAGAGTATTTCTGCTACTAATGAAAGTTTTGAAACTATACACTGTGATATATGGGGACCTCTAAGTACTGTTTCTGTTCATGGTCATAGGTATTTTCTTACAATTGTTGATGACTACACTAGACATACGTGGATTTTCCTAATGAATAACAAGGGACAAACAAGAGATTTATTGCAAAATTTTGTGATTAAAATCAAGAACCAATTTAATAAAATGGTTAAGAACATCAGGTCTGACAATGGACCTGAATTCAAATGTGAAAGTTTCTATAATCTTCATGGTATTAATCATCAAACCAGCTGTGTTGAAACACCTCAACAAAATTCTATTGTTGAAAGAAAACACCGTCATATTCTTAATGTTACACGCAGTCTTTTATTTCAATCAAACATACCTAAAGGATATTGGTCATATGCTGTTGGGCATGCTGTTTTCTTGATAAATAGAATGCCTTCACATATTCTCAACAACAAAACTCCCTATGACATGCTCTATGATAAATCTCCTGCTTACATAGATCTTAAGGTTTTTGGATGTTTATGCTTTGCCTCTACTCTTGAAAATAGCAGAAACAAACTTGATTCCAGAGCAAGAAAAGGTGTTTTTCTAGGTTATAAGAGTGGCATCAAAGGTTATACTGTTTTAGATTTAAATACTAAGGAGTTGTTCATAAGCAGAAATGTTATTTTTTATGAAAATGTCTTTCCTTACAACAACATGCAAGAAGACAGGCAAGACAATGTCAGCAATGAAGAGAAGACTGAATCTCTCAATGATCTTCTAAAGGACTCCTATCCTTTAATTGAAGATAGAAATAATGAGTCTGATGGCCAGGAAGAACAAGAACAAGCCTCTGTTAACAGAGACAACAACAACGAGACTGGAGATCAAGAGAACCATATAAGCAGAAGATCCAACAGGCTCAGAAAGACTCCTGACTATCTAAAAGACTATGTCCATCAGGTTCATCAATCCTTATCCATTAAGAATACCTTTAAAACTGCCTATCCTATAACTAATGTGTTAAACTGCAACAATTTATCTGCGAAATATTCTAAATACATCATGGCTATTACTAATAACAAAGAACCCCAATCTTATACTGAAGCTAAAATCAAGGCTGAATGGAGAGAAGCTATGGATAAGGAAATCAAAGCTTTAGAAGAAAATAAAACCTGGACCCTAACTCAATTACCTCCTGGAAAATTCCCCATAGGATGCAAATGGGTGTACAAAATTAAATATAGAACTGATGGTAGTATTGAGAGACATAAAGCCTGATTAGTTGCCAAGGGTTATACCCAACAGGAAGGAATAGACTATCTTGACACTTTTGCACCTGTAGCTAATCTTACTACTGTTAGACTTCTTATTGCTCTTGCTGCTTCTAATAATTGGTTTTTACAACAACTTGATGTTGATAATGCTTTCCTACATGGAGATTTAAATGAAGAAGTGTATATGCAATTACCCCCAGGTATGGATACTAGTAAAGATGGTTTTGTCTGTAAGCTAAATAAGTCTTTATATGGTTTAAAGCAAGCCAGTAGGCAGTGGTTTGAGAAGTTATCTGCCTTTCTTATATCTGTGAATTACATTCAATCCAAATCTGATCACTCATTGTTTACCAAAAGAACTGCTACTGGTTTTACTGCTCTACTTGTATATGTGGATGATATTGTGTTAGCAGGAAATTCTATGGAAGAAATAAACTATATGAAAGAGCTTTTGCACAAAAGGTTTCGTATTAAAAATCTTGGAGAACTTAAATATTTCCTTGGACTTGAAGTGGCAAGATCCAAGAAGGGAATTCATCTATGTCAGAGAAAGTATGCCCTGGACATACTTGAGGAAACATGGATGGAAGGTTGCAAACCCTTTTCTACTCCCTTTCTAAAGGACACCAGCACTCTATACAAAGAGGATAACTATCTGAATGATCCTGAATCTTATAGAAGACTGATAGGGAAGTTACTCTACCTTACTAATACTAGGCCAGATTTATGTTTTACTGTCAATCTTCTCAGTCAATTCATGCAAAAACCCACTCATTATCACTATCAAGCTGTTCAACATATATTAAGATATATAAAGTCCTCACCCTCTGAAGGTTTATTTTTTGCAGCTGAGTCTCCAAAGCAACTAAAGGCTTTTAGTGACTCCGACTGGGCCACTTGTCCTAACACAAGGAGATCCACCACAGGCTTTTGTGTTTTTCTTGGATCATCACTCATTTCCTGGAAATCTAAGAAGCAGAAGACTGTTTCCAGATCTTCTACTGAAGCAGAATACAGGGCCCTTGCTGCCACTGTATGCGAAATACAGTGGCTTCATTATCTTATGCAAGACCTTCAAATTGAAGAATCTGGGGTTCCTGTTTTATATTGTGACAACAAATCGGCACGTCACATTGCCCACAATCAAAGTTTCCACGAACGAACCAAGCACATAGAGCTTGATTTTCACGTGGTTCGTGAAAAACTCCAAGAGCGTCTTTTACATCTTCTACCCGTCCGGTCCGAAGAGCAGCTTGCTGATATCTTCACGAAATTTCCGCATCGCGTCAAGTTTGGAACCATTATTCCCAAGCTTGGACTGGTAAATATACATTGTCCAGCTTGAGGGGAGGCTATTGAGAATCACTGTTGATTCTCTTAACTGTCTTGCAACAGTTAATTTATTTCGGGTGTATTTTTCTGTTTTTCCCCCCTTCATGGAACCCTATATATATAGGGTTCCTTTCCCCTTTTTCCCTTAATGTCAAAATACTCAGATTTTATCACTTTTAACAGAATAAAGAAAGTTTTAGTTTACGTTACTTACCGTTTTCCGATCTACGTTTTCTCCTTCTTGAGCTCCGGCCACCACCGTCTCAGATTGCCGTTCAGGGAGCCGCCACTCCCTTCTTCCTCCATCGCCTCTTGCTCTGTCTCGCTTTTCTCTCTCTTTCTCGATCTTTCTCCTCTGCATTATGCCACGCACGCAGTCCACTTTCAGAATAATAAGCCACATGGGCCAGGAAGTGAATTGGGCCATCAACGTTGTAAGTGCACAGTGCTGGGCCTGTTCCAATAGTTAACTCTTTTTGAAAAACATACCAAATCATATAAATAGTAGAGATTGGAAGTTCAAGTATAGTTTCCTAAGGAATTTGCATTTGTTTAGTTAACTATGACTATTTACTAATTTAGGCAATAAATATGAATATTGATTTATTCAAACAAGTTAAAAACATATAAAGTTACAAAGAATACAAATTATAAAATGATCCAGATAAAGACTCACAAGGGTTGGACTTCATGACCCAAGCTATATGCAATCATTCATACAATATATCTTTAACATACTTAAGAATTCACATCAAATATTAGTCATAATTCCTTAAAGACAAGTTCTAAATCTTATGTGAAAATACTAGTTCCTTAGATATTCAAACACAATATTTGCATTAAGAGAAGATGTCTAGAATGACCAAGAGCTTTGGTCTATGTCTAGAACCAAACCTCTTGTTGTTCTATCCATGTTTAGTTTCCATAACATTTACCAATGGTTAAACACTACCCAAATAGTATAGATATTTCATCATGCATATGAATAAAAAGGATAGAACACAAGAATAACGAAAGATATTCCATTGCATAGAAAGAACTAAAATGAGTTTAGGTACATTACATCCAACTCCAATGAAATGGAGTTTAACTACTCTTATACATCTAGAACACAAAAGAGAATTGGAACGATTAAAAGGATGGGCGAAGATAGGGTCATTCAGCCCTAGAAGTGCCTCAACTCGTGTCTTAAGTCTCATTTCTAAAGTACGAATTTTCATACCTAAAAGTTGTTATTATAAGAAAGAAGTATTATTGAGTTCTTAAAGAGAGCAATTGTTGGGTTTTCTGAAATTCATCAAGAAGTTATCAAGATGAATATGATTCTAAGAATTATTGCTTGGATATAGATCTGATTTGCAACATCTATACTCTAGGTGGACTCATTTCATTTACTTTTTACATTTTTCATTCTTTGAATTGTATTCATTATGCAAGTGATCATCTTGTGTAAAATATTACATCTAGAGTTTGGTTCTTGATAAGTGTATTAAGTTCTTGATATTTTAGTGTCAAGAATTATTAAGGTATACATATAATTTTATAAACTTTTTGAATATAGTATAAATCTTCTAAGTTTATGTTGTTTGGAAGAAAATTGAATATAAATTCAAATTGAACCAAACTAGTATAAATTGGTGTGATCTTTTCTTTTTTTATCAATCTTCTTTTTAACACAATATTCAAGAACTTGAATGGTTTAATTAAAAATATATGACCAAAATTGCATAAACTTAAATTTATAAGAAATAAAAATTATGTTTAAATAAGTAAAATGAAAGATTCGATAATAATAACTATAAAAATACAATAATTCATAAATTTATTCATCATTACTTAATTAACATAACAAGGTTTATAACCGAGGCTGAATAAAAAACGAGTATGATGTGTCTACTCTTTGACAAAAGGGTATATCTCATAACGAAAGTTGCAACTTCCACTCACAACCCTACCTCCTTCTTTGCCATCACAACAATTTGGGAGCTCGCCAATCGCATCATCAAGACACTTCTTGCAATCATTGCTTGAAAGGTCTCTGGTGCACTGAGTCAACCCATAAAGGGTCACTGAATTCTCAAGGTATACCTCTCCAGTTGCATAAAAGTTGCTGTTAACATAAGCTTTCTCCGCAAGCTGGCTCAATAACTCTCTAGTCTTGTAGTTAAACGACGAAGGGTCACTCACATTGTTGAGGTTCCACATGTAGAACCTGTTTGTGTAGTCAATCTTGGCAAAGAAATCAGTGTCCAAGTACTTGAACATGCAGTAGTCGTACCAAATGATGCCACCTTTGTTGTACTGACAGCGATTAAGGATTTCTTTGGGTGCCTCAGAAACACAGGTTTTACATTCCGAGGCTGATACATCACCACGGCAAAGAGCAAGACCGTATGCTTTCTGGTTTTGATCTATGCCCACAGATGCAACACCAAAGCCTGATGAAGGGGTCTTGTAGATGAGCGAGTTGATGAGAGTTTTCAAGTTTGATTCATAGGGACTATTGGCTGTGAAATTCTGAGAATTTGAACAGAAATGGAAGAGAGGGTCAGCTCCAAAAGATGTTTGGAGAATGAGAGATAAGGTTAGTGAGAAAAGAAAAGTGGAAAAGAGCTTCGTGGAAGACATTGTTTTTGTTGGATTGTTTTGCAAATGGGATTATGGAGAATGAGGCTATTTATGGAGAATCTTCTGCTTCATCCAAAAGGTTAACGTTTTCGTTTTGACCATTTTATAATTAATGCTAACTTGTTAGGTTGCAGTGCACTATGTCAAAGTTAGGCAGCGCCTTGAACGTTTCGGAATTTGGACACTGTCGCGTTTTGGTTGCAAATCAGCAAGAGATATATCTAACTTTGAGCTTCCATTTCCATTTTATATTCACAACACCATTTCTTCCTTATGATACTGTCAATTGCTTCCTACATTGTTTAAACGTTTGGCATATTAAAATATAATATAAATATGGGTCCGTCCGTCCAATATTAAAATAATATAATTTTTCGGCCGTGTGTATATTTCATCATTTTGAAATTTTCTACAAATTCTGGAGTCAACTCTTGAAAGAGATAACGCGATCGACGTGTTCTCTCTCTCGAGATGATATACGCATGGTTGAAGGAGTAGTGCAAGTGAGTTTAATGGTAAATGTATCTGTAAAGCAATTGAGCGAAATAAAAAGTAAATAAAAAATTGGTGCAAGTATATCTTTTATATATGATTATTATAAAAAGCAATGAACTTATCATAGTTACATTTTATTAGACATATAAAGAAAAAATAATAATAAAGGGATTATAATGTGTAATAAAATCATGGGCTCTTACAGTTTATATTATGTGTTTTTAAAATGAACAGATCAAAAATTAAAAATGTAAATTAATTATAGTAAAATAAGACCCAGCCTATTTTCATTGGGACCGAACCTATGATTAGTGAGGTTGACGTTGTCATGAGTTTAATAAGAATAACCTAACATTAAATAAAAATAAATGCATACTAAAATAAAGATTTTTCTTTTCTGAAAATATTGAACAATTCGTTTAAACCAAAAGTTAGTTACATAGTATCAAAGACTCCCATAAATTTTTTTAACTTGTCATTATTAGTTCTTTTACTAAATTTTTGTATCATTTAACAATTTTTTGTTATTTGCTAACTTGTTTATTATTGATTTTTTTTATCAGATGAAGATAAAATAGATACTAAATTTTGAAGTTGTTATAGATTTTATTTAATCAAGATACATTGTGATAGAAAAAAAAAAACTCTAGTACGATGAGGTTCATTTTTCTTTTATAGTTTAGTATTTTTGTAATGCTGATAAAAAATTATTTAAAACTTATATTTTTGTAATCATTTAAAAAACAGTTTAAAGTATTATTAATTAAAAATAAATAGATTAAGTAAATAAGCTCATTTAACCTACGAATATGTGATCAAACAATCTAGGCTAATAGTTTTAGGATTACCAAAAGGCAAACTTACCCATTCTAATAAATCTACCCAAAACAATGGCATTATTTAAGAATCACATTTCTTAATTGTTTCCCATTTTTCTCTAACCAATTATATTTCTTAGATATGACAGGTATTATTATTATTATTTATTTATGGGTACAAAGGATATTTTTGTAACTCCCCTTTCAATAAAATCGATTACATCTTATTATTAGATACTGAACTTTTATCAGGGAGCTTCATTATATACTATTTTCTTTTCCCACAAATTACATTTATTGCACTAGGATTTTATTTTCAATAAGATTATAACTCGTATTAACCCATAAACAAACAAACAAAACTGTAAAATATGAGCATTTTAAATGTTATGTCTATTTTTTATGATAAGAGAAATGAGAATAACCTAATTTTCCAAGCTCATTGACTCTTCCCGCATATTAGCCATTCTTCAACCATTGCGTCTCTTTTATCCAATGTTTCACACTACATCTTTCTTATTCTTACTTTTCTCCTCTAAATCATTGAAAATAATAAAAGTAAAAAAAAAAGTTTCTAGAAGTGCAGCATCCCTACCTTAATTCAAAAGGTCTTGCAATTTTAATTATTAACATATTTCTAAAATTGGTTTATACACGAATATACATTTATAAAAATATTTACTAACTATTTAAAAAATAATAGTTTAGTTTATATACAATTTATTTTTACTTTTAATTTTTTAATTTTGCTTTACTATTTTTTAAACATTATCCAAATAATTATTATTCAATCATAATGTTCTGAATATATAAGTAATTAAATTCATTCATATATGCTTATCATTTTTTTCAACTTATTATATCATCTGTACGAAATTAATTACATGGGGGAATAGCCTTCTTTTCTGTCTTTCTGATTCTCTCCTGATTAGATAACATTTGTTTCTGATATAGTGAATCTCTTTCGAATGAATCTTTGTACAATCATATTCTCAATATGATATATTCTAATTTCCTTGCTACGTCTTCAATTGTTTGTCTTTTCTATTTGGAATTGATAAATACTTCTCTCACTTTCCCTCTCGTACTATTTTTTTAATTTTATATTTAATTTATTTTGATTGTCGTTATTTTTATGATTATTTATACCTTTTCATATTATTTTGAAAAAAATTGTATTTATTTAAATACAAAAGAAACACATATTAATATACTTTTTAAATATATTTCTGTCAAATATTGTTCCTTCTAGAGGCTTGTTCCTAAAAATGATGTCATGAGTGTAAGTCAACAACCCCATAATCAATACCTTTACACTTCTAGACAATCTCGTGAGCAAACAGTGTTTATGTTTGTTTTTATTGAAAACAAATATGTTGACTTCGCATCTAGCTATTAGAACTTACAATGCAAAAATTGTATTGAGCTATTTAAAAAAAGTATATTGTATTAGGAATGTGTATGATAAATGTACCCAACATCTTCGTTACGATGAACAAAAACGTTATTCACAAACCGAGTTAATTTTCCATTTAACTCCAAAAGAGTCTAAAACCTCCAAAAACAATCTAGAGAATATCCAAAACTGATATCCAAATCTAAAATTTGAGATTTTCAAAATCTAAAAAAAAAAAAGACAAAAAAGTTGGCTTTTTTTAGTGTATTTCTAAAACTATTATTTGAAGATCTTAAAAATACCATGAATAGAAGAAAGTAAGGATATTTAATTAATAATTGTGAGTTATGGGTCAAACTTTATAAAATATTTATATTAAATTTAATTCCAGATAATAAATTTATGAACAGATTCGAATATGTAAAATTTATGGATGTGTAATATGTAATTATGATGGAATATGGAGAGCATTAGGGTTCTAAAAATCACTGGTTTAGTTTAGCCTGGTTCATAGTAATTCGAATGCAATTAGTTCACATCCTTATGATTATGAGTTTTGAGGTTCAATATGCTGGGTTAACGGGTAATATTAGCTTTATTTAAAAAATATACATATTCTAAATCCAAACAAGGGAAAACTAGAATGATTTGTTTTACACTTAATAAAATTAGTTTTAATCAATAGATATACATTAGTAATTTCATATATAAAGTTATTTTTAATACTTAAATTCAGTAATTTGATATATAAATTTGAAGAGCTGTAAATGATTTTTATAAAATAATATTATTTTTAATAATTTAAAATTTTAGTTAATTATTTTTTGACAAAAGATTGACCTGAAGTTCACGATTAGTCCAATCCGAACTAATTTGGGTCTAAGGATTAAACGAGTAAACTTAAAGGGTGTTTCATCGTGAACTTCCAAGTCATTCATCCTACACCTTCAAAGTTTTATAAAATGTCTTTATTACCCTGTAATTAAGAAGGTTTTAATATTTTTTTCAGAATAAAACAGAAGTGGTCAAAGATTTTTTATGGTTGTCGGTGTGCACAATTTTCGCATTTCAAATATCTATTGCATCTCATTTTTTTTTCTTTCTTCATCTCTCCATTCTTCCACACACAGACCACCCCACTCGCGGTTCCCTCTCCCTTTACCTTTCCTCTTCCTTTATCCAGCAACACACACAAGCAATACACACAGTCACACACTTCCCTCTCTTTTTGCTTTCGTTTTCGTCTCTCCATTCTCATACACAGAGTGAACCTTCGTCGCACTGCAACCACAGCTTCGAGAATGTGGTGCATTCATTAAGATTCATTGACCTTTTCACATTTTGAGATTCATTGACTTTTGAGCAAGTGACACTTGTGTTGCTCATTTTTTAGAAACTGTTTTATCCAATGTATTTAAGTTTTCTCCTTTCTCCATTGTCAGTTGCTTTTGTCGACTTTTTCATGGTTATTGCTTGTCCCGACATTATGTATGCACTGATTATTTAAAGTTGCATTGTTGAGCCCTAGTGTAAGTGTAAATATATTAGTTTTATATGTGATTGTATTCCTTTTCAAAGTTTTCCATATTTATTGTTATCCGTTTTATAAATGAAAAAAAAAATACAAGTGCAAAACATATATCGGATCTCCATGTCTGATTGCTCTTCCATCGGATATTAACATCCGATCACACTTTTATCGGATTTTCATATCCAATACAAATCTTCACAACTTTAATTTTTCTAAAATATTTATATTAAATATCAAAAATTCATAAAAAATATTTTTTAACAATTATATATTATTTAATTAAATTATAAATTCATAAAAATTGATTTATAATTTTAAATATAATTATAAACTAATAAAATAATTATATAATAATATAATAAAAATTTTGTGTAAAATATTAAACCTAATTCGGACATGGACATCGGAGAATCAAAGTATTGAATTTCCAAAACCGATAAACGTATAATCAGATTTTCATGCCGATAATAGGTACATCTTTAGTTTTCTATATTCTAAATTAGTTTTATTAATTTTAATAAATTCATAAAATTAAATTTATACCAATTAAATATTATATAATTACATTCTAAACTCATACATAAATTTAAAAATAATTATAAACTAATATAACAATAATTAAATATATAATGAATATAAACGAAAGAGGGTGTTGGGGTGGAGGGATGTATGTTTGGTGATACAGGGAAAATAAAAGTGTAATCAATGCTGAAGAGAGAAATAGTCAATAAAAATAAAATTAATAAATAACCACCTAATAAATTAGAAGTATTTTA